GAAGCACACCTTGACAAACCACCATGGCTCTGTGCCACCAGGAGCCCACTCCCTTCAGATCATCCGGCCCAGGAAATGCTGGCCGTATGATCAGACCATTTGGTGAAAACAACAGAAAGAAGCAGAGCTAACAACATAAGCATTGTGCTTTTAAGTACCGTGCTCAATATATTTAAACTCAACATGTGAAATGTACTCTTCCGTGAAGGGTTAGCATTACTGAAGCCCTCACGTGGTTGGTGCCATCCTTCAACCCTGCCCTGGAGGTCAGTTGTCTCTTGGATGTCTTCTTTTAAGGCACAAAGGGCTGAAAAGCTAAGCAGGAAAGATAATGATCTCAAAATCAGAGTTCTAAGCACCATCCAACAGGGAGGCTGGCGGTCACTTTATCAGGTAGATGTGCCAGGAGTGCCCACATAGGAGCTTCGGTAACCCCAGTGACCCAGTGCTAACGGTCAGGCCACTGCGCATGGAATCGGCCACGACCTGCATGAATGGCCCTGTATTTCAACCTTCACAAAAAGCATTTAGGGTCAGATTCACACAGGAGTCTATTTTCTCAGTGTAGTATCTATGGGAGCTCATAGGCCCAAAGTAATTTTTGAAGAAATTTAAATACTCATCGATAAGGGATCTGGGAAGGGTCACATGGGAAATTAACATGTCTGGTTATGTCTGGGAGCCCTGGTCCCTGACAGTCGACTGGTGTTTAGTAGACGCGCCCACTATCGCTCGTTAGGTGACTATGAGAGCAGAGGTCAGATGCCTCCATCCACAGGTGATAACTATTTCCTTCCCAATGCTAAACACATCCTTCAAGTTTCTTAAGGATTATAAAGATGAAGGCTAGGGCTAGAGGGAGACCCTGGGAAGGAGCCAGTATATGTGCAGACAGACCTTCATTAAATGTAATGCTATTCTAAGGCTGGGCAGTGGTGGCACACTCCTTTAACCCAGCACTCGGGAGGCAGAGGCAGGTGAATCTCTGAATTCGAGGCCAGTCTGGTTTACAAGAGCTAGTTCCAGGATAGGCTCCAAAGCTATAGAGAAAGCCTGTCTCAAAACAAACAAACAAACAAACAAACAACCCAATGCTATTCTAACACATAGGGGTGGCCAGGCCTGAGCCTTCCTCCTTAGCACAGCAAAGAAAGACCCAAGGGCATGAGACCTTGTCTCTGTTCTGGAGCAGGAATGAAACCCCTCCCCTCTGACCCACGAACACCATACACCATGGCTTCTGTTCTCAGTGCTTTTGGTCATTTCTGAATCCTGTGTAAAGTTGAGTCATCTTCTTAGACACATGAACTTCTAGGTCTTTGCTTTGGCCTAGCTTCAGGTGTGCGGGTGCTGGCCTTGGATCTTCTGGAGAGGTAGATGGGATACACACCATACTAAGGCTCTTGTGAACAGCCAGGAGTTATGATGTACCTTCAGGTGGTCCAATTAACTAAATCAATGAAATGTCATCACTTACCAGAAGTAGTGATGGGAATTGCAGTCCTTGCCCAGAGGGGCCAATCATTTGATGGCTGTCTTCCAGGGGCAGTGTCCATGTTCAGTGCCTTGACTCTGGGAAAATCTAGTCAGTAGAATGCATGGTGCTGGGGCCAGCTGAACGCCAAATTCAAGCAGAAGAAAAAGGCCCAACTGTCATTTTCTCATCCATGCTTTCCATGAACACAGACTCCAAGTGCGTCCAGAAACTCTTCTCTATGACAGAGACCCAGTGCCATTTGGCTAAGCAGGAAGGGTATGACGTCTTTAAGGACTTTTCTGTGTTACTTGGCATCAAGACAAATATTGTAACCAGTCATCTGTCACATTCAACCTTTGAAAGGTGTGACACTTTATTTAAAAAGCAAGATGGGGCAATGGGACTGTGCATTATGGTTAACTCTACAGATTGATTTCCTTCAGGCCTGGAAGGAAGGTGGTACCCTCCATCCCAAATGCTATTCAACAGAGAGGTTACGGGGATCACTTCTAGCAGAAACCCAGGCAAGCAACAGGCCACTCCATGTCGGCCTTCACTAGGAAAATGGTTAAAAACTGTTATGGGTCATGGAAAGAGAAAGACAGCCTTGAAGGCCTTATTTTAAAACTGCTGAATGTGTGCTCAGGGCACCAGCAAAGGAAATGCGGCATGTGTAGGCACACATGTACACCGTACACTGAAGAATGCACACCAAACAACTCCCTGAAGCCGTAAAGAAAGCATCTGATACAACTCTTAGCAATTCCATGGAGTGGGCAAAGCTGAGATGAAAGGATTTAAGTCCCTCGGGCTGCAGAATTGGAGATGGTTCACTGTTCTCTCTGCTAATGATGGCATGTAGGCCTGCCTAAAGAATACAGTGCATTGCTTAAAGCCCTGAACCATGTTTAAAGGGAAAAGGGCTGTGTATGTATCCCAGGCTCAAAAGGAAGAAAACACTCAAGATGAACAGGCACAGTGTGGCTCAAACTCAAACCTCCAGGAGACCAAACAAGCCATTCCTCTCTTTCTGAGGCCTTCTCCTTCCTAGATCATACTTTGGGCAAAGTTAGTCTTGAACCCCATGTCCCCAGGTCAGATTTGGGAAGGCAAGTGAGTTTCCTACTTTCAACAGTTTGGTGATCTCCCACCAACTCCCAACTTCCTCAGAACATTTACATTGTAAACTCCAAAGCAAATTAGCTTGGAACTCAGGGATGTCTGAGGACTTTGGGATTTGGGTGGGGCATAAAGTGGAGGCTGGGAGTAGCAGGGGTCTAAGGCGACACTGGCTTTGAACCACCTTTGTGTTGTTTTGGTGAGCTCTGTAGTCCCAGACGTGGTTACCTGGTTTGGGTGCCACTGGGAACCAGGTAACTATTGTTTATCTTTCCACATCCTAATGAAAGGTCTAAGAGGGAGAAAGGCATATTTCAGGAACTTACATGGTAGACAGGGACCTCGTACTGTCGGCAGTTTGAGACTACACACGACATCGGGACAGTCAAGACTACACTTGACTCTAGGTGCTGAGACCTAGCTGACTTATCTGACTGTAACTGCAGCAGGACCATTCCCCACTGATGGAGGTCCTTGGATCTAGGCATGGGTACACACTCAGCACTTCCTGCTACGTTAAAGGTAACGTATAAAGGTACCCATATGCGGATCACATATCGCTATCAGAAATATTTAACAGCCGTTTATAAAGCTGTCTTGACCATGACATTCAAGGTCACTTCTCCTGGGTGCACTAGGGGCACGAGGTGGTAGTTCTGGGCACTGTGCTGGACTCTCTAAACAAGTGACTCCAACTCAGCAAGAAGCAAGAAGGGGCCGTCTGTCTCCTTTCTCACTTCCTTGTAGGTTGAACACACAGGGCTCTGGCACACAGTTTGATGGGTCTCGGGCCTTGGCCATCAGCCTGCAGAAGGGGTGGCTAAGAATGTGCACTGTATGACGACAACCCATGGTCCCTGTCGAGTACAATTCTGTTCTAACTAGGAAAACACTATAACTAGCTTTTCAACAGCCAAGCAAAAGCTGACTGTACATCTCAAATAGCTGTTTGTTAGCCAATGCCTCCCAATAATATCTCTTATGTGATATATATATATATATATATATATATATGTATGTATGTATATTAAAAAACACTCAAATACCAACAGATTTAACTTTATAGCACCATACCAAAATACTAAACTTTCTTTGCACCTTTATTTCTCTCTCTTTTTCGGTACACATTTAGAATATGGTCATCCTGCAAATTTCTGAGAAGTCCTAGAAAAGAAAACAACTAATTTTTAGGACAGAGCAGCAACTTGGTATAGGCAAGATAATGTCAATCAATCCAGGTGTAAATCCTTTGCCGGAAGTCGGTTTTGGGTGAGAGTGGAGGGAGGAGGCAAGACTTCCCAGAAGACCCTAGACATGGGGCTTGGTGTCAGTGAGCACCAGCAGTCTGCTCTGGGACCGGCTACTCAAGGCACCTGGCTTTCCAAGGGGCCGCTCTTCTGACGAGGGAACTGGGGTGCTAGATACCTGTAACATCCATCTGTCTGTACTGCAAGAGAGATTAGGATGTTATTGAATTCTCTCTTACCCATCTCTGTGTTTTCATTGGGCAACACTAAAATCTGTTCTTTGCAGGCAGATGTATTAAAATTTAGCAGAATTATAAGTGGGGTTTTAATTCAACACAGATCTGTTTGCTGAAGTGGGGCGAGGACTGTTTGCAGGAGAAAACAATTTCTCGTGACACCAGAGTCACACCTCACCCTGGTTATGACTGTGTGTTCCCGCCTAGCTCCTCCATGTTAATGTGAGCAAGGCTTACAGTGGCGGGTGTGGGAGGGACAGGAAGTGTAGACTGGAGAGGGCAGAGAGAGGCAGAGTGAGGGACACTGGCGGCAGTTTCAGAGAGACCGAATGTTCCACAGTAACAGTCAGTGACCCGGGAAGAAAACCTTTCAATCAGAGTTGAGTATTAGAAAGTGAGCGGGCACCAGGCAGGAAGGAAGACAAGAGTACGCCCTGGAATAGAACCATCACTGGGCTCTATTACACCACACACAATATAACATGTTCTTTTCAACATCACACATAGAAATATTATACACGTTGGAGTAAACTAAATGCAGAATAACTTCGAGGCACACAGAATCAACATGGCGAGTGCGAGCTACGATTAAAACAAAGACGTGGTGATTCCAGGCCAGTCAGCTTGGAGGGCCCCGCTGCAGGGGATTGGCAGCCACCACCCATGTATGAGGGCAATCGGCACACCTCAATGTCATCATTCTTAATTGCTTCAGAGAAGGTCTAATCTGCTAAACAATCTGAGAGATCAAACTGCTGCTTCCCACTCTCAAGCAGGTAACCCCAAAAGTTCCTTCTGGCCTTCAGGCTTCATTACCAGGAGGAGGCTGCTACATCTCCCCTATTTCCTGTAAATAATTTGGTTACTGTGCAACCATGTTAGTCAAACTAGAACAGTATTCAAGAACACCCATCACAGTGCTTAACAAGATTTAATGTACATTTATTCTTAACATGTGGGACATATAAAGATTTATACTGAATAAATGATATTCATTAAGCCAGAGGAAAAGAGGAATTTACATCAAGTTTTTTTCATTTTTTTCTTTTCTTAAACTACATTATCTTGAAATACAAATGTGGATTCCTGTCACAGAAAAATCGCTGAAGTTGTGTTTCTTCCTTTTAGTTGTTTATTCCTTCTTTGTTTTTTCTTTTCTTTTTTTTCTTTTTTTTTGTCTGTACTGGTATCCGTTTTCTAAATCAATCCGTATGCAACCATTTCCACACCTTGATTCATGAAGCAAATTGGGACCAGCCGCTCTCCCAACAGAGCATGACTTTATACATACAGAAACTTGTACATTACCCTCTTTTTTTGTTTGTTTTTGTTTTTTGTATTTTTTGTTTCTTTTTTTTGTTTTTTGGAGATATGGTCCTAATGAAAAAATATATAAAATAAAAATAAAAAATTATTTAAATCTACCATCACTTCGTAGTTACCACATCATGAAAAAGAAATGAAAACTTTGTACTAAAAAAAAAAAAAAGAAAAGAAAAGAAAAAAAATGAGGGTATGTTTAATGTACAACTTCTATATACATCACAGCCCACAGGCAGTAAAAAAAATATTTAAAAAATGATGAAAGGAATTGTGAAGAACTGTCACGTGGAGGCCGGACCGCAGCAGATATGGCGGTCGTGGTGAGGAAGCAGTTCCGCGGATGGCTGTCAGGGTGCAGCTTCACCCCTAACTGAAAGCGCTGTTTTTTGCTCATAGCCTAATGTAACCACTTTCCTGTGGAGAAACCAGTATCACTCATAGTTCTGACTGACTGCCACACTTCCTCGAGCCCCTATACCTATATCTCTAGAAGTTTCTATTGCACAGAGCTTTGGGTGATGGGGTGCAGTTTTGTTTTTATCATTCTGTGAAGAATAAAATTCATAGAAAATCAATTCAAGGATCAATTTTCCTTTCACCTTTCTGCCTCGGTGTGGTGAAATTTTCCTATCTTAGCCTCTTTTGCCAAAAAATTTTTTTCTTTCAATTCACTTCCCCAAAACTGCAATACAACATTAAAAAAAAAAACATTAAAAAGGAAATTTTGTGGAAAAGAAGTGACCTTTGAATGCACTGGACAGCAACTTTGGTTAAAAAAAAAAGAAATAGAAAATCCCCAAAGGATGTACTTATACACACAGACAGCAAATATTAATTTTATAACTGTTCGAATTAATGATTTAATTCCCAATTGGTAAATAGTGACGGGGCAGAGGAGCAAAGACTCTTCCTTCATCCTACGCTGGATAAACGAGAACAGAAACAGCCAGTCCTATGTGACCCTCTATCTTCACTCACGCATGCGTGCCTGCTCACGTGTGTCATAACTGCCCAATCTGAAACAGTACATCACAGATGACAGACGCCACCAGAGAGTTCAGGACAGCCGATATCGAGATATCCAGCAACCGACCCTCGTGCAAAAGGAATTCTGAGCGGTTTTCGTCCACTCTGGCCATGGCCAGCAAAGCCTTGGCCGCCCTGCACATCATGTCTACGCTAGGGGGTTCCAGAGGTGGGGGCTGCATGTGCATGAGGCTGTGCTGGCTCTGCTGGTATTGCGCCATCGTCACCCCGTCCTCCAGGAAGCTTATCAAGTTTCCGATGCTTCCTTTCTGCACAGCTATTGCCCTTGCTGCCAGTGCGTCCCCCTGGGCAAGGTTCGATAAAAGCGCCATGGACATTTCTCGACAGACTGGGTTTTTGCGATCCCCAACGTACCTAACTAATGTAGCATAAAATTTCTCCTGACGACTAAATGGAGGTGTGGCCAAGATTAGGTCCACGTTGTTGTCCTGGATACTGAGTTTACAGAGCGTCTCTAGCACAAGTCTCTGTGGTGACAGGACTGAGTTGGGCCCCACGGTGGGAAAGGGGTCCTGCGCCTCTGCGGACGGGCACACCATCCAGTGCAGCAAACCGTCCAGGATCGGCAAGCAGATGCTCTCCGTATACGCAGACAAGTCTAGCTGCCCGGAAATGTTGGCCAACGTGACCAGTGTGTTATCCCGCAAGACCTCAAGGCAGTCCCACCACCACTCGTCTTTGCTGCAGGCCACCCCCTTGTCCTCATCCTCCTCCTTCTCATAGGTTTGTGGCGCCCTTTTTCTCTCTGGATGCTCGTGATGCAGCAGAATCAGCTTTCCCAGGATCAGCACCAAGCCTGGGTGTTTGGACATCTCTGCATCGTTGCCAGGCACGAAAGACAAGCTCCGCACGATGTTGGACACACAGATGCAGCGCTTGGCCAGGGAGTCCTGCCAGTGCGCGATGGTACACAGGGGCGTCTCGTCCCGGCTCCTGGGCTCGTCCTCCAGTAGCCTGATGTTCCGGTGGCTTTTGGCCTGCTGGATTCCAAAGGGAAACTTGCTGCTGTCAGTTTGGGGTCCTGGGTTGGCGTCTTCAGGCAGGGCCCCTGGCCGGGCAGACAAGACGTCATCGATGGTGGCTATGATGCTTTTCTCTGGCTGCTCTTCGGAATCACCTTTGCCTTCTGGCTCTTTCTTCCTCCCGGTGGAGCTCAGAGGCGGAGGTGGGCGCCTGCGAGGAGGGATCTCCATCTTGCTCTCAAAGTGAGTCTGGATGTGCTCTGTAGTGTCGCCGCCCCCCAGCTGCCAGTGCAGGAGCCCACTGTTGAACTCCTGCACGCGGCCCAGCTTGTCAGACCGGTCCACCACAAACAGGTTGCTCTTTTTGACAATCTTTATGGGCAGCTTGTCAAACTTACTGGCCTGCTTTGGCGTCTCCTTGGGGTCCACGGTGGCATCTGGAGCAGCAGGAGCAGCGCCGCTCGTCCCCTCCGACTCTGTCTTTCCGCTGTCTTCCTCCTCCTCCTCATCCTCCTCCTCTTCGTCAGGACACTCAGCCTCCTCTTCTTTCCCAGAATCGTCTCCTGAGCACTGGCTGTCGTCTTTCTTCCCCGCGTGGTGATCAAGTGCTTTATGGCTGGGGTCACCCACTTCATATTCCATAAGAATTCCAAAAATGTCAATGAGGCATTTTCGGAAGTACTCTACTAAAAGTTCCAGGAAGCCAGACAGCTGGAGGAGAGAGAGAACAGGCACAGGTGAGTGGGGAGGTCATCAGCTCTGCCTGAAGGGGCAAGAGCAGGAGCCGAGGGCAGCTTTGGGTAACGACGCCCATACTGTTTTAATGTCCTCTGGCCAGACTCTGGAGGGCACACCACACACCCGAAAGCTACCTTCCTGATGACGGACAAGCGTGCACAAGTGTGTCTCTGGTTCTCTGACAACTGGCACTGCCAGCACCGGCACCAGTTTTCCAGAGCCATGGTTCCCACGTGGTGAGTGAGAACAGCACCAGTCTCCACAGATGGGGAGCTCCCCCACTCTCCACAGCTTGCCGAGTTAGGAGTGGGAGCAAGGATGTTATGGACTCTTGTACCCAGAGCGAATCTGTTTCCTCTTCTATTTATCTGGGAGTCATCTGCTGGGGGTTTTATGGTTATAATCTCAGGATTTTTATGGCTATTTTTGTCTCAGGTGTCATAGGTTGCCCTAACTTATGTTCCCTCTATATCTTTTGGAGGAGATAATTTCAGCAATGTAGTAGCTCATAAACACCGAAAATTATAATCAAATTTAGTCAATTTAGTCCCTGATAAACGAATGAGACTGCTCCATAAGATGCAATTTTACATTTCAGTTATTGGCAAAGTTAGTGAAAGACAGGCGCCACTAGCAGAGAGGCCCGGCCTGTGGAAAAGTGAGCGAGCCCTCCTGCTCACACTGCTCGCTCTGGCTGCACACGGCATGCAAGGACGCTCCTGTGTGACAGACACCATGGAAGCCACCCACACTTGCGCATCTCTGTTCCCTGGAAGGGGCTTGGGACTCTGTCCAGGGTGAGGGGACATAAGTTGTACCAAACAGTCACTTTGGTACTCCCAGAGGAATTCTCCCACGTGAAGCTTGGGTGGTCCCCTCCCTTTCACAAGTTTACCTCTGCCCTAGTAAAGGGCAAGTTAATCAAGCACTTCCGGGTATAAAAATGCACGATCAGCCAGAGTTCACCTGTCACGAGGGTGAAGGTTCTAGAAAAGGCTGGACACATTTAAGCTTTTCTTAAAAACAAAACCCCACCACCAGATCACACAATGTTTGTGACACATTAATTTATTCCACCAACTTAGAATTGTCTCTTGGGCTGCACCGAAGACATGGTGAAAAAAACAGGGTGGTGAAAAGTTCTGGTCTTATTAAATAGCAGGAAAGGAATGGAGAGACCAGCATTCTCGGAGGCTGAGCTGTTTACATCCCACAAAGAGAGAGAGCCTCTCACTTTTATTGTCAGCACCTCTTAAAGGCCACAACCCCAGTGACTGGCATCTTTCTCGGGGTTTTTGATCTGTTAGTCACACTGCTACAAGCTACTCTGAAGAGAGGGTTTCTGATAGGGTTAAGCAGCAAGATTTCGAATGAATGCTTCAGAACAGCCAGGAGACAGACAGAAGGGAGGCAGACCTAGAGGCAGGCAAGGCCAGGAGTCCCTGATCATCTCAGTCTTATGGTGGGGACACTGGGGTCATCAAACTCCACTCTCTTACATAATAAGTTATCCATTTTCTACTGGGGAAAAACTGCAGCATGGGGAGGTGGTACACATCCAACCCTAGCACAGGGAAGCAGGTCCACTTCAAGATCACGTAGGTTCAAGGCCAGGCCACATGACAGCCTGCCTCAAACAAATGTGACAAATTCTTAACTGCTATCACACACACACACACACACACACACACACACACACACACACACACCCTTTGTTTTCTATGAGAAATATGGGAATGCATATATGTATATATATGTATACACACACACATATATACAGACACACACACACATGCACACCAATGATGGAATTTTCATCCCAGACTAAGTCCTCGGGCAACTCTGTTGATGAATGCTGCTTCATAGTAACCACAGTGATTCAAAGTCTTGGGCAGGCCCTGCTCATCAGCTGAGACACCAGCACAAGAACTGTGCCCCTCTTAACTGTGGAACATGCTAACTTGTGCGAGCTGCACTGTGGTTGCCTCACCTGGGAGAGGTTGAAGGTGGCGACAGTGCTGTCGTCGTAGAGGAGAATGTTGATGGTGTCCAAAGCCCAGGTGCTCTCGGCCAACAGACCCGACTTAAGGGACATCATCACACGCCACGCCTCGGGAGTGACTAAACAGGAGAACAGGACATTATGAACATTTGCCCTGGAGGAAGAGCAGAGCGTTGGCCGCGCACAGCTTTACAAATGCTCGCAGTCAGCCATGGACGCTGCCTGACTTTAGCTGGAGGTGCTAACCCTACAGGGTACTTTGTTCTTTCTCTTTGGGGGTTAAACAGGGCCTTAAGAGCTTCTAGTTGCGGGAGGACCCGGCCAGCATGCATGGTCCTTGTCACCTTGGGTGTTCTTCTGCCACTTAAGAGTCAGTAGGGGGCACCAGGTTTGCATAGCAGAACCCCCAGCAGAGCTGTCTTCTTTTGCCTCCTTCACTCAAAAGGACCTCAAGGTGGCATCTTGAGACTGGCAAGTTTGTGGAATTAGAGGAAAATGTAAGCTCAGACAGCGTAGCCTTAGCCAGAGGTCTGGTTTTCCGGCAGTGTTTCTCTCACTTCTATGCCCCTTCGTTCAGAATGTGCCCTGGCCACAACCAGACACTGTCAGTTTTCAGGGTGTGGCTGAGTCAAGGACAGGGAGGCAGAAAGCCCGCATTTCTTTTGTTCCTACTCCTGCCACCAGTTGTCAGGGTTGCTGAGAGAACAGGACCGCATTGGGGGCTCCCCAGGTCCTGAGTCTGAAATGGGAGCTCTTCAGGAGGCCTGCAGGGGCCTGGGATGTGACCCCCTCACCACAACTACAAGTGGTACCACGTGCGTGTGTGCGCATGCACGGGTGTGTGTGTGTGGGGGGCTGTAAGTAGGTGTGTCCAAAGACGTCATTGCTGTGATTTTGTTTTACAAGCTTTTTAAGACTTTTGTCATACAAGGGATCAGACTTTAGAAACTAAGGAACATAAAATTCCCTAAGCTGAAGGCAATCACTGATAGAAACTGAATTAAGAGGAAAAACCAAAACAAAACAGAACTAGATACTGGGCTGGAGAGATGGCTCAGCAGTGAAGAGCACTTATTCTTGGAGAGGAGCAGGGTTGGGGTTCCAGCAGTCAAATGGCAGCTAACAACCATCCGGAACGCCAGTCCTGGGGATTTAACACCCTCTTCTGGCTTCCTTGGGCAATGCATACATATAGTACAGATACACATGTAGGCAAAATATCACATAAAATAAAAATAAATACATCTTTAAAAAGTAGATATATATCTATTTATACACACAACACATACACAAACATAAATATCTATTTCATTTTAAATTCTCTGTAAAATTTGACTCAGTATCTATGCTCCAGCATCTGCTACAGATCCAAATTACAAAAGATGCCGTTTTTCTCACTATGTACCTACTTATATCCAACAATTGAAAGTATCTTTACTATTTATTTGTCTAATCACTGCAAATGGTTTAAGTCAAGTGATTCCAAAATCTCTGAAAAAGTTTTTATTTCTTATACAACCAAGAGCTATTATTTCCTATGTTGTGTTAAAAGAACTTCAAAATAAATGCAGCAAAAGCTGTGCTTACTCCTAGACACTCCAGACCGCTAATTAGTATTCCCGTCGTCTCACAGAGGACGGGCGAGCGCATTAGTATGCAGCTGAGGCTAACTCCGCGGCCTGTATCTGCCAGCGTGGTGTGGATTGCCGCAGCTCCAGACATCACAGCAGCGAGCACCACACATCACATTATCCATCTATAAACCATAGCCAGGCTTCCGCCTTTCCCCAGAGAAACTCAGCTTACACTGTCACCGCTCTGCTTGCCGTCCATTCCCTCAGCCTCACAGGGGTCTCTTAAGCATTTGCTGCAGCAATTAAGTGGCTTGGTTAGGGTTAAATCCGAAGCCAACGCACAGCATGTGACTCCTCAGGAGTCCCAGGTCTCTTCCTGAAGCCCTTGTCTCTCACACACGCAACCTTTGCACCTAGTAGTATCATTATTTCAATGCAGGCTCTTCTCTGGCCTGTTTCTTATTCAGATGAGTGGTCTAATCAACGCTCCCTTATGTAAATATCCTGATAATTCATACTATTAAGAATCTCATCCAATTGAATGGATGGAAATTACATCTAAATTGAAGCTCTAGATTGAAAAGACAACCCATTTTCAGAACATCCCTTCTAAACTCACCAATATCTTTTGAGGTGATCTTTCGCCTTTGTTTCAGGACTGGCTGTGAGGCTTCCACAGAGCCAGGAGGAAAGGTAATCTCCCTTCTGATTGGCGGTGGCTGAGGGGGCGGCCCAGCGACCTGGGATGTGGGAACTGTGGGCATGACCTTCTGCATCTTCATGGTGGGCAGGAAGGGAGACTTGCTTGGAGACATGCGACTCTCCAGGGAGCGCTGGAAGGAGGCGGGGCTGGGCGCCCTGGAGATGTGGTTTGGCAGCGATGGTGGCGTCTGGTAGGATGACTGAGGTGGGCGCGTGATGGGCTGCATGGAGGCCGACGACGACATGTAAGGCTGGCGCTGGCTGACGTGAGAAGGCCACTGGCTCTCATGATTGATTCTCTGATCTGGTACCATCATATCATCTGTTCGGTTCATGCCTGGGTATGGCGGCGCCTGCGCGGGGCCACCTGGACCTTGCCTGTTCTGGTAGGGATAAGGCATATCGTTGCGTGCTGCCCACACGTTCTGCTGCGGCCCCTCGCTGGAGGCTGACTGCATGGGGCCACCCATCATCTGAGGTGGGATTCCATGTGGCTGCATCTGGCCTGGGCCCTGCATCCTCTCTCTGTTGTAGGGGTAGGGATACTGTCCCTGGATGGGCCTCCTGTCCGGGCCAGAGTAAGAGCTTCCGTACTGGTTGTACACCTCCTGCTGCTGGCTGCCATACTGCATGTTGTACATGTCCCCTTCATGGCGCTTGGCTGGAGGCCCGTACATGCCATCCATATGGCGTTTGTAATTCTGAAATTCATATACAGACAAAACATACTGATGTACTCTTAGAGGTATAATCATACACAATTATGCAAAATAGTTATTACTGGGTAGATTGTTCATTTCCAAATGAATATGGGACGCTCTTACAGACTGACAATTTAGGCTTGGATTTCAGTGTCACCACACACTCTGAGGAGGGCTTCTCAAGTTTGCTTCCATGGATATGAAACTTTATTAGAGGAAAACAAGGACCCCTCTCCTTGGGCTGCCATACAGGGACAGCACAGCAGCACATGTGCACAGACAGAACAAGATGCTCTGCCTTATGGGAGCAGGCTGGAGATCCCAAGGTCACCCTGGGAGGTTCCGGACCAAAGAGATCCCTTAGACCTCAATAGATGGCAATACATACAACACAGTTCCTCAGGCTGGGTCACCATACCTGGTGACCATATCCTGGCTTCTGCCTGCTGTCTAGGTCCAGTTCTCCAATAAACGCATCCTGGTCCCTCCACACAGCTCCTTCCCCTCAACGCTACCCCTGGAGACTCTTACCAGTGCCCATTGTGTGGCTGGGACTTCCTGATGGGCAGCAGAGATGCCGAGGGAGAACTATGCTATTTCACCTCACCTCCAACTGCTTACATTAAGTTGATTCAACAACTATAAGGTATGCTCCGGAAGTAAGAGTTCAAAACGACTTTGTTATTGAAAAATTCTAAGACAATTTCTCTCTCTCTCTCTCTCTCTCTCTCTCTCTCTCTCTCTCTCTCTGTGTGTGTGTGTGTGTGTGTAGGTGTGTGTGTGTCTCTCTGTGTGTGTATTCTCATTTTGCCAGAGATTCCAGATCAAAAAGGTGGCTCAGCAACAACTGGATCCAGTGTCTGAGGTCACATTTGAAGCTCCATCCTCAAGGTCACTGTGACGTTTGCATGACTCAGCTGGGAGCTAGCATGAACTACCCTATTACTCAGAATATGTCATTAGTTAGCATTTTAAAGAAATATTTTAGTGAGTGTACTTCAGGGGGGCCATGGGCCACACAGTCACTAGAGTAGCACTCAGCCAAAATAGGTGATGTCGGTATCACAGGCACAAACAGCCCATTTCTAAGAGTCAGCTTTTAGGCTTGGTCTACAACAGTCTGGGTTCTTTTAAGGATGGCACATTTCTGTCCTGCAGTGGACTGACTAACAGACAGTTGTCCCTGGGTATCTACAGAGATTGGTCTTGGGACCCCCGCGGGCCACATTCAGACATTCAAGTCCCTTAGAGACAAAGGTTCAAGCTTTCTCTGCCATCTAAACACACTCTGTGTTTGAGTTATTTCCAGAGGATCGGATCACAGTGCAGTGCAAGCGAATGCTATCTAAGTAGCTGTGCCCACTCGTTCAGAGAACGAGGAAGGAAATGTATGCACACGCTCTGTACACTTGTCTTTTGACCTGTGGTTGGCTCAGTTCATAGATCTGGAACATGGAGTGACCACAGACATGTGCCCAGCATGTCTTATGTATCCCAGCACACTACATATCAAGAGCTGTTTTCAATTTTCTGAGTTCAAAATCCCAGGAGGACTTCCTAGCCAGCCCTCCCTGACTACTGAGTAGAGCATACAGCTGCTATTGGCCCTCCCCAAATCTTCATAAGAAAGACAAAGGGAAAACAGGCCCACACCCACTGGTCCACTCACCGGCTGCTGTGGGTACAGGCCAGGCTGGTGTCCTCCATACGTCGGCTGTCCTGTGGGAGGACCTTGGCCTGGATACTGCTGCCCGTAAGCCTCATGCCTAGATCAAAGTATTCAAAGAAAACTTAGTTTACACGGAACTTGCGACAAACAAAGACACGAACAGCCCATTTCCAGAAGCTCTACCCAATGGCTCTGCCTTCTCCCCACAGGCACTACTTCCAACAGAGCAGGACACCACAGCTGTAGCCCAATTTCTTGCAGGGATGGTAACACCCATCTTAGGAGAGGAGCCAAACTTCCAGCTCAGGTTTGCTAATAGGTGTCAGAGGAATACCGGTTGGACAGGCAGGACTTTGTATGTACTTGTCCTGGCTGTGGCCTCTTCCTTTGAGGCGGAAGTCCTACCCACTCACTGGCGAGTGCCGCATGGTGTTGTCATGGGAGCCAGAAGCAAGAAGAAACTAACTGGAGTTCAGAGGCAGCATTTCTAGAAGTGTAAGAACATGGATGATGCCACTTCCTTTACCTCCTCACTGAGGACAGACATACTTCAGTTTTTAAAGCTAGACTCTGTGAGTGAGTCCCCAGATGCTAAACCTGGTAGAGAAGTGGTCAAAATTCTAAGTTCCTAATGACAAAGGGTATGGAAAAGGACACTAGCAGTGACCGAAAGTCCTACCAAATCGTCACTCAGAAATAGACAGTGTTCAGTTTCAACTGCTCTCACATTCAGAAACCGTAAATGCCACGAAGCTAACACTCTCAAGGGTAACAGGGCTGGAGCTGTGACAACAAACTGGCTTAATTTAGAAAGACTGGATCGTGTCGGAGGGGAGAGTAACTGAACTGGATATATTATTAATCTGATCGAGAAATGAAAATAAGAAAAAAATTAGACTACCACATGCAAATAGACAGGGAAAGGCTCTAGAAGGGAGGATAGAGAAAAGAACTGTAACTGATAAGAATAAAACTTAAGACGGGCAGGTAACACTTTTCAGAAGATTGCCAACAGCGAGGTAAGGCTCTGAGGTGGACTAGTTAAAGCAGGGCACTCTGCAGTAGAAGAAGAGCCAGCTAACGGGGAATTCTCAGGGAGTGTCTGTCCTTGCACAACTATCTAATCTCACTGGGGAAAAAATCAGTAGTTCTTACTTGATCCTAGACCCCAACTGAACCTTTATCCCACATACTAGTGATCCACACTGTGATCCACAAAGGCTAACTGTAAGCCTCATCCCATGCACTAGGTACCTGCGATGGCTCACAGACTGATGTCATCACACGTGGTCAGGGCATGAACACTGAAACCACCAGGTGTGGGACATTGGTTTTATACCCTGTAAAGTTTTGTCAGTTGTACTGGTTTAATAAAATGCTGATTGGCCAGTAGCCAGGCAAGAAGTGTAGGCTGGGTCACCAGAACAGGAGAATTCTGGGAAGAGGAAAGGCTGAATTTGCAAGACCAAGAGAAAGCAAGATGAGAACACCTCACTGATAAAAGGTACCAAGTCACATGGCTAACACAGACAAGAATTATGGGCTAATTTAAGATGTAAGAATTAGTTAATAAGAAAGCCTGAGCTAATAGGCCAATCAATTTATAATTAATGTAAGCCTCTGTTATTTCTTTGGGACAAATGGCTGTGGGACCAGGTAGAGCAGAAACCTCTGTCAACAACCATGTCACCTGGTTCCCAGTGGCGCTGGGAGTCAGGCTCTGGGAAGACCCCAGGGAGACCTGACTAGGTGTAACTGTTATTTTCACACCCACTCCTTGTTCTGAGCCCCTTTCCACACACCACCTCTCTTGGCTCTAGTAGGTGTGCTTGTGAGAGGGCCTGAGTGTGGCCATGCTGCCCTGGGCAGACACCAACCATATCCAGATCATGGAGGAAGGGACTCAAATCCATCTTGCCCTTTACCTGCACATGGCAGCCACAGAGGACAAGGTCCGCTCCTCTCGTGTGCTTCACAGATCACAAGTACATACCACAGGCTAAAAGCCTGCCTGGAGCATGTCTCACTAGGGAAGCCTTTGGTGTCACAGCCAGGGGCACAGGTGAGGGATCTCTTCATAAAGAAAGCCCATCACTGTCACCACTGAAGGATGAGGCTTCTGAGGGCCATCTTGTGACATCCCACTGTCTTTCTACCTAAGTACAATCGGTACAACAGTGATCCTGTGGCTCGGCCTGCCATGTGAATATCAAAATGGATTCAAGGACTCTTGTGTCCCTGAATGGTGGACTTTCTCAGAGATGTCTGTTAAGAGCAAAATACACTCTTGGTCCAGAACTTGGAAAGCCTGAGAGCCAAGTGCAATATCCTAGGTATCCCCATGGTGTGGGACAATTCTGTATTGTGTCAATTATGTTTTAAATAAATGCTGAATGGCCAGTAGCCAGGCAGGAAGTATGGGCATGACAACCAGACAGGAAGAATAGGCAGGACAAAGAGAACAGAAGAATTCTGGGAAGAGGGAAGCTCTCTCTAGTCCTGTCCAAACACCGAAGAAGCAGTATGTGACTTACCCTGCTGAAAAAGGTACTGAGCCATGTGGCTAACATAGATAATAATAATGGGTTAATATGAGTTATAAGAGCTAATACGAAGCCTGAGCTAATGGCCAATCAGTTTATAATTTATGAAGATCTCTGTGTGATTTTCTTTGGGACCTACCAACTGTGGGAACTGGGCAGGACAGAAACCCCAACAAGCAGGCCACCATGATACAAATGGCACTAACATGTGGACAACTGCATCCACATAAAGCCTGAGACAGTTTGGGAAGTAATTCTAGAACAAAATAACAGCATTATGCATGGTTTCTTGAAAGCAGCAATTTCTTGGGTCTGCTCTGCTTGCTGGGGGCAAGCAAGCACTTTCATCTAAGAGAGGCTTCCTGACTCAGCTTTAGTTGTAAAACTTTGCAGCTCTTTTAAGAGGTCCTGCCAAGAAACACTTAAATGGTGTTGATAAAAAGCTGACTGCATGCTTTTCGGTTTTCAGCCGTAACATGAAAAAAGGTGCACCATTTTAAAATACCGGTTTTCTGGGCCGTCCTGCCAGGGCAAACTCTGACTCTTTCAGGCAGGCGGTTTGACTACAGAGCATCTGAGTGTGGTTTGTGAGCACACTGCTGCAGCCTGTTTGCTGGCAGGAACCTTGAAACGCCATAGAGTTGTGGCAATAAAAATGGCTACTGCTGGTTCCTCTGCCACCATGAGGCTGGAAAGTTAAGGAATGGGCTGGATCCAGCGGTCAAAGTCATGGCTTTAATCCTCTCCATAAAGACTCATGTGGTCAGAAAAAGAGAGATATAGAGTAAAGAGAGATTCAAAGATGAAGAAAATCTCTAAATGGTTTACAGTGTGTTAAAAAATATATGCAGGCTAAAGGTTAAAGTTCTAAAAGTGCCTGGGAGGCAGAGGCAAGTGGATCTCTGTGAGTTCAAGGACAGCCTGGTCTACAGAGGGAGTTCCAGGACAAAGATACACGGAGAACCTGTCTCAAAAAGTCAAAAGTTAAAAGTAAAAATAAAAGAAATAGAGGTTAAAATAAAGGCACGTAAAGATGGAAAATACACAGAGAATCTTGATACTGTATGTTATTATGCTTTCTTTGAATTGTTTGAATGCTGAGGAAGGAACAACAGCTGCTAAAAGATATTTGTTTATAAATGATGCTGAATTAATCCAAGATAGGTAGTTTGAAAATACCTTGGCTTCAAAATTGAAGTCAAAAGGTATGTTACTTTGGAGAAGAGGATTTGCTTTTGTTTCAACAGAAAATGAGAGGCTGTGGATTCATTCTGAGATAAGAAAAATCCAGTTTGATCAAGGAAGACTACCTGAGAAATCTCTGATAGGAACAGATGACCTGGATGTCTGAGTTCTACATCTAGAACGGATTCAAGATTGCAGCCTGAGATGATCAAGACTCACAGGATACTTCAGTCAGGACTTGATTATAACTCTAAATTTTCTTTAGGTCCCCATAAGATCATCAGCGTCCCCAACCAGCAGGAAGTAGCCTGAAAAACTACGCCCACATTCCCAAAAATGGACTATTGATATTTTCCTTTGTTTAAAAAAAAAAAAGAGGGGGAAGTGGTGCGGTAGAATTGTCTGTAGTCTGTCAATCACGTTTTAAATAAACGCTGATTGACCAGGCAGGAAGTATAGGTGGGCCAACCAGACAGAAAGTAGAGGTGGGGCAATGAGAACAGGAGTATTCTGGGAAGAAGGAAGCTCCCTCCGCATTCCTGCACAGAACACCAAGAAGCAAGATGTAACCTGCCCCGCTGGAAAAGGTACTGAGCCACATGGCTAACATAGATGAGAATAATGGGTTACTATAAGCTACAAGAGCTAATAAGTAGCCTGAGCTAGTAGGCCAATCAGTTTTATAACTTATGGAGATCTCTGTGTGATTTTCTTTGGGGCTTGCTGGCTGTGAGGTACCGGGCGGACAGATACCCCAACAAGCAGGCCCCCTCCATGTTGCAGATATTTTCCTTTGTTAAAAAAAAAAAAGAGGGGGAAGTGGTGTGGGACAATTCTGTATTCTGTCAATTATGTTTTAAATAAATGCTGATTGGTCAGTAGCCAGGCAGGAAATATAAGTAAGACAACCAGACAGGAAGTAGAGGCGGGGCAATGAGAACAGGTGTATTCTGGGAAGAAGGAAGCTCTTTCTGCAGGCCCGTCCAGACACCAAAGAAGGAAGATGTGACCTGACTCGCTGAGAAAGGTACCAAGCCATGTGGCTAACATATACTAGAATAATGGGCCAAGCAGTGTTTCACTGAATATAGTTTCTGTGTGACTATTTCAGGGCTAAGCTAGCCGGGCGGCTGGGGTGAAAAGCCTGCTCCTCCTGTTACATCCCCAGGGAGTGTGGGGGAGGAGAGCCTGGTATTGAAAAGCCCAGGAAGCTTGCAGAAGTTACAGGCACATCTAGGCAGTCTCACTGTGGTAACAACAGCTGCCTTGAGGGTGCTGGTGCTGGGTGGGAGGGTGGTTCCTGAGTTCTGAGGGAAGAGTGGCCTGCCAGTCCCGCCAGGACACCAGAATCTGAGGTCTGCTGCTGACACCTGCTCATAAACAACAGCCCCTGACTGTCTGAGACCAAGTTCTTCAGGGTCTGGCTGAGGCCACCCCCTGTAAGTAGCCACTGGACATGGTTACTGCACTGCCACTGAATCTCAGGCACCAGGGCTCAGAAGTGTGCATCTGAGGAAAGCAGTTTCTGGTAAATTGTCTCATCTCACCAAAAAGCACTCACCTTCGGTCGTAACTGGCTCCATAGGGAAACTGCTGCCGCTGCCCCATGCCCAGGTTGGACATGGCACCCGAGGGACTCTGGTTGTACACGTCCTGCATGCTGCTGTTGGGCATCTGTCCTTGTGTCATGAAGGGCTCGCTACTTCCAGGCACTGTGGTATTAAAAAAAAAAGCACATAATTAAGCAATTTCTAAAAGTCATAGGACCTACACACCCACTTCTAGAAATTTCTGTGATCCCTATATGTTGTATGACACACCACAATACTAATGATAGGATATGAAGTCTTCCCAAGGTGGCAGAATCCTGAGATGGCCTGAAAGACACCTGCATCCCAGGTGCTTGCTTTGCATGAGCCTCTGAGCTTAACCTGGGCAGGCCCCAGAAACCAGCTGGGCTGTGGCTCCATGGTTGTGGTATGTTCCACGGCAAGAAACACTCAGAGATGTAGTGATTTTACAATTGGCTGTGCATTCACCCTAAGGGAGCACTGAAGCAGCCCTTCAAATCTGGGGCTGAAGGCTGAATATGGAGCCTTTCTGACATTCTCCTACTGGTCCTGTCATCGAAAGAGGGACATCCTGAAGGGTTCACAGAGAACAGCCCACAACAGTACAGTCGCTCTGGTCCCATAACCATAAGAGACTAAGAAATAAATTCTGGCAACAACTTGAATAAACCTGAAGGGGACCTGGAACTCAGAAGTCCTGGCTGACACCTTGGTTCTGTGTGAGGCTGAGAGCAGAGGCTAAACCTACTCCTGAGCCCTCAGAGTATCTATAGTCCAGCTCTCATAGGTGTGGTCTGTGTCGCCTGTCATGCTTATGTTGACTATTGTCTGTAGAACAAGGTGATACCAGCTCATGAAGGGACTATAAACAAGACATATAATATGTATTTAAAGCAGCTCCCACTCCTATAAGGAAAAGCCAGAAACCCTTGCCATTAACATGCATTCACAACAGCTTCAGGGGCTGGAGACATGGCTTAGTGGCTATTGCCCTTGCTGGACCTGAATTCAGTTCCCAGCATCTACAGTGCCTGGCGTTTCACTATGGCCTGTAACTCTATGGGGATCTGAGGCCCCCTTCTGGCCTCTGGAAGCACTTACATTCATTTGAAAATACATACATATGCATATTTAAAAAAGAAAACAGGAAAATCGAAGATGGGACAAGCAGAGACTTATTTCTGTCAAAAAGCAGACCACCAATGAGGTTGCATATGCAATGAGCATCGGCTCAAAGCCTGAAGAAAGCAGTATCAAGTCCCTCATCCGCCAGCAAGTATTTGAAATATTTTAACGTTTAATGACTCTATGGCTACTACTTGTCTTCATTCTGACAGCTATGTCTTAGTGAAGCAAAGCTGACTGAAGTTTTCTGAGTCAATGCTGTTACATTGTGAACCAGCCACAAGGGCTGAGGCCAATGCAGGAATATCCCAGCCTCCACCTTCTCTCTGTCTGAGTTCACAGCGACTTGTGGTAGAGCCAGTTCTGAGAATTATGTTCCATTTTATAGATGGAAAGATAGAGACAGACAGAAGTCAAGTGTCATAATTAAAGGAAAGTAGTTTAATTCCCTAATACACAAAGAGTTCTTTAGAAAATCAACAACAACAACAAAAAGATAGTAAGTCAAAACCAAGAAAAAGCCATTCACTCAGCATGTGACAGACGTGTGGCATCACTGTATAAATGTAAGTCATGATCTGATTGGCAGATGTTCCGGTGGCTGGTTAAGAATGAGCTTAGTAAGTGGGGCCCACACACCTGCACACTCCCGCCAGTGCATGTAACTGCTGCAACTTCTGCCGGTCCCTGCTGTGGGCAGCCATCCCCTGGCACACACAGAGCACTTCTATGTGTGTTCACAGCCCATGTAGTTCCCTTCCCTGTAATGACACTGGGCTGGGTTACATGGCTGGGGCTGACCAACAGGATCAGGAAAATGGATGCAAGCAAACATTCACACGAGCTCACAAAGGGCTAGGAAGATCTTGAATCTTCTTGGAACACACCTCCCATGGCAAGGGTACCCTAGAAACTACATAGGAAGGTCCCAGACTCCAGCTGGGTCCCTAGCAAAGACTGTCGACATCAGTTATGTCCCTGATACACAGTCCCAAAACACAGGGAAGTTGCACTGACTGAAGTCAGGGAGGTTGGGGCAGTTTGCAATATCATAAAAGGTTACTGAGACACTTCATTTCTAATCTTTGACTCAAAAATCTATCTCCCATCTCATGGAGACACTGCCACAATCACAGAAACACTTTATTTCAACAATTGTTTTGTATGAGCAAAATGGGAGGAAATGGCCTGTCCAGTGCTCCGGCACCAGAGTCTAGGTAAAGATTAAGCACAGCTGTGTGTATGGATATTAACAGATGCTCAGGCACTGGGCACCATGGCCAGAGCTTCAGAGAGAGAAGGAAACAAGCAGGTTGGAGGTTGGTGGTGGTGCGCAGGCACAGCCGCCTCCACAGGCTAAGGGTTCTGAGACCAGACTGACTCACTATACCACAGAGTCACAGGCCAATGACAGCGACATCACCAACAGTGGTTTCCACTGACCAAATTGGTCTGAGTGGTAGAATAAGGCAACTTGAAGGATAGAAAATATTATTTACAACAAATTAGAGCTGGAAGACAATCTTTCCCGTGGACTGCGTTTCAGCTCTATTTTGGTAATAGATGCCCCAATGCTATGAGGCAGCAGGTGAAGTGAATATAAAAGGATTGGGTCATTTATCTACGACGTACGTGGTTGATGAAGACGTCGTACTCTCCAGCAGCACAGTTCTCTGCTCCCCTCACTGCACAAATCCAGTTTGTGCATATGCACAGGTGCACACCCACATGGATCTAAGTTCCCTCTATTCCCCATCTTACTCTTGAGATGAGCTCTTTCTTACTGAATGTGGGGCTCATGAACTTGGCTAGGCTGGGTGTCCAGCAAAGTCTGGGGATCCTCCTGTCTCGGCCCATAGAGCTGGAGCTGTGGGTATCTCCGCCACACTCAGTTTTTATGTGCATGCTGGAGATCCAAATCCAGGCCCTCCTGTTTGTGTGGAAAGTGCCTTCCCCGATGGCTACCTCCACAGCCTCTCAAATTCATTCTTAGCTTAGAGACTTAGGTGTGAGAGAGGAGGGCCACAGAGGTCCCACCCCAAGTACCAGAGATTGTTTTTTGCATGTTATCGTTACATGTCTAGAGTCTAAAGGTGGGATTTGGACCCAAAAACCCCCTCACACCACTAAAACCCAGCTACTTGTAACAGGTCTTTACATCTCAAGGTTATTTGATTTATTGTATATTTTGTAAACCTGTATTTAGAAGTAGCCCCAAGACTCTTGAAAGGAAAAATTACAGTTTATCTTGCTTTATGCAACTGTTCTCTGAAATATGTTTGAAATACTATAAATCTCATTTGCTTGCTAGTATACACCCAATGCTAAAAGTGCTGAGATTCTCCTGTTATGTTTTTATAGTCCATAATACTCATCAAAACCAAGCTGGAGCTTTATGCATCACTCCACTTATGGCTATCACAAAACTCACAGCTGTTATGTATAGTAGCACAAGTTTTTAATCCCAGCACTCGGGAGGCAGAGACAGGTGGATCTCTGTGAGTTGAGGCCAGTCTAGTTTACACAGAGTTCCAGATCAGGACCTCTGCCCTCCTCTGATGCATTTGTACAACATCACTGTATTTCCAAGCTTTCCTGTTGCTTTTTCCTTCAGTCACGGCCTCTGTAATTCTCCCTCTAAGTTTGTTAAGTCCGTCAAGAGCTAAGTAAGAAGCAGAGGCACACTACACAGTACCCAGCACACGCTAACATGATGCTGATGATGTGGGAGAGGGGGCACCTCCTGATCACGGAGTCCACCATTCTTCCACTGGCTCTGGTGCACGGACTCACCCCTTACAGCACACCAGAAGCAGGCTCTAACACTGTCGCCATTTCTAGATGAGGCAAATAAGACACATAGAAGCTACGTTTTTCTCAAGCTATAGCTTAAGCAAGGAAGTGAGGCTGAGTTACTAAATGGCAGGCACTCAGATCTGTCCCAAGTGAATAGGTGACTAGGCTGTGAGGCAATGGCGAGAATAAAGCCTTCTGAACCACGCCCATGCAGAAACCCCGTTCTCTGTACCTTTTCTCATCCCACTGAAGGGGTCCTTGTTGGGCTCGTAGGGCATCCTGCCCATCATGTCTGGCATGCTCATGCCCTGCTGGTACGGAGCATTTGGAGTCATAGAGTTCCGTTTGGGGTATGCCGCATCACCCACGTCTGAGAATGGGTCATGCACACTGATTGTACTGCTCCTGAAAGATGCAAACGATGAAAGCTGAATGACACCACAGCACCAGCTACACACCCTGAGCCCGAGAAATGGACCCCTATTATATGCTAAAACAGCGGTAAACGCTTAAAAACTAACCAGGGAACAACACTGTTTTCTATTAGGTGTCTTCCAAAAACAAGATGAAACTTGAGTCTACATCTCAGAGCCCCCGGAACATACCTTCCACTTTGCATGGGGGTCATCTGTCCATGAGGGGTAGATGCTGGGGTTGGTGGCTTCAGGTCACCGGGAACTTCTGCCATCGAATTGCTGCCAGTTGACTGTGGAGTCTGTGGGCCTTGTAAGGATCCTGAGTTAGCTGGCAGTGGCCAAAGGAAAATAAGGGAAGCTGCTAGAGTCATCGAGTAAAGTAATTTGACAGCCATGTATATGAAAAGATTAAAAGGAAGACATTTTTGGAAACATAGCAACAATGTAGCAAAAATCAGTCACTTATATGTTGCTTTTATTAAGGGAATGGAATGAAAGAAGGAGGGAGGGGCAGGGAGAGAGAGAGTATGTGTGAGCATGCGTATACCAAGGGTGGAAGACAGGGCTCACACGCTAAGACAAACGCTCTGCTCTGAGTTCTACCCCCATCAGCCAGTAAAGGAATATTTCGGAATAAACGATTTAGAAACATACTTCATTTGTGAGCCATAAAATATAGTTATACGTTTGACTGGGTAATTGCTTCCTGGGGTATTTATCCCGGGGAAAAGGACTCTAAGAAAAAGAAGGCTTTAGGCAGAAAATTGTTTAACTCAGCGTTGCTGGAAATACTCTAAATGTAAATAAAGGAGAAATGGGACGAAAATTTTGGCACATCAGTTTGATGGTCTGTAATACAGTGCTTCAGAACACGGGTTCTTCTGCAGCAGGGAATGTCTGCAGCTCAAAAGTGGTTATGTAGGTTAACAAGGCACCTTACACTATTTTAATATCTTTGCAACAGTTGGACACCTATGCTCTATCATTAAAAACACTCATTTGAGCTGTAAGATTTGTGATTACAGATGCACATCAGGCTGGCTTGCAGTTAGTTCTTCAATCCTGCTGCTGGGATTCTGAGACTGTTTCCACCACAGTTACTTCAGAAAAACAGCATTTGGAAGGGAGCCCCTTTCAGAACTCAAGTGGGTTATTAATTAACCTTGCCCACTTTGTCATCCATCGTAGTCTTTAGCATGCTAGATGTTCATAGATAGATGTTGCTTTCATGTATCCATCAGACAGGAACATTCCAGGGAATCTGTGTCTGGTGCATTTGAACTCCTTTCAACAGGTGAACCCACAGTGTAGCCAACTGACAGAGGCCACACAACCCCGCCTTTATGGCATCTGCACAACTGCCTGGGACTGAGCACTGCAGACTGCCGGCCGGCACATGGGAAATGACACTTGCTCTCCTGTGGAGGAGGGGACAAGCCTCGCTCCAGTGCTTGTTTTACCTCAGAGGAAATGGAGGTTAAAGTCCTAAGCTATTTCTTCACAAAGGGGTCAGAAATGGGTAAAGTGGGCATCACTTATGTACGCAAGAGACACAGTAAAGAAACTGCTCAAATGGTCTCTCTGTGATCTGATGAAGGCTTTTATTGGAGATATGAGAGCGAGAGAGCAGACAGAGGCATCTGGAAGAGCCCAGGGCCAAGGCATAAGACTGAACATGGCCAGCAGACAAGACCAGACCGTCTGTGGAAGGGGAGGATGGAGGGGAGAGAACAGACAGGGCACAGTGAGGAGAGAACAGGAGTGTCTGGGAGGAGGAGCCCTGGGGAGGCAGCGTGTTACCAAGAACTTTGAAATGTATAATGGCTATTTTTGATACCGAGGGAGTCTAGAGGCCCCTAATGAGCTTTGATACGCAGCAACAGGTGGCCACTTGTCCCTTCTGTCAGAGGTAAGGGAAATGACTCCTTTTGACAGATGGGGACCAGTTTCACAAGTTCCGGAAGAATGCTGGCTTTTTATCTAACCACCTTAAGTTCTCCTGTCCAGCTTGAGCTCATTTCTGGACATATAGACTGTCTTTTGGGAATTGGAGTTTCCTTTGCACTTCTTCTTAGCAAGCCTTCGTCATGTTCAAGTGCTGTCTGTCAGATGTGGGTTGCCCAGTCCCTGTGGCCTGACTGGCTGCCCACAGTGTATGTGGAGCTCAGGATGACTTAGGGATGACTTCAGGATCGCAAGCCAACTACCTCCTCATGGAGCAGAAAAGCTAACCAGCACTGACACTCTGGAAGCGTGCACTAAGAAGGCAGACCGCAAGGAGTGAGCAAGGAGCCTTTTAGGACACTGTCAGTCTGCCAGTCCTATCAACACCGCAGAATTGTGGCAAAAAGGCTTGTCTCGGATGCCACGTCACTTCCCTTGGAAATATGGCTTGCAGCCTGCTGTGATGCTAGAATGACCTTATTTATAGAGCAGTCACATTTACAGCTAATAAAAAACAAACAAGAAAAAAAATTCTCCTTTCTTGCCAGAGTTTTTCCTTTCAGGAAAAAAAAAAAATGAATACACCCTCTCTCAACTCCATTAGCGGAGAAGGCTGGCTGGCTCCCTAGGATATCCCTACCTTTTGCCAGAAGCTACAAATGTATGCTCTAAAGTAAACAATGGAAAGGTTACTGAAGGTTAAGTGCGGTCACACACTTCAGAGGGGAACAGCCCGGCTCCTGGCTGGGAAGATAATTTACACAGCATGAACCCAGTGCCCCAGTTCTGGGGTGGGGGTGGGGGTTGCGGGTAACAGTGTGAGAACAGCTGATGTGTCCCAGGTCTAGTGACTAGAGGTCACCCAGAGGGCACCTTTGTTACTGCAGCCCCTTTCTCATTTGTCTTCCTCTGAGGATTCCCTAGTTGGAACCCTGACAGGTTTTGTGACATCACTTGTCAGCTAATAATAGAAATGCAGTCAGCCACCTGCCAGCAAAGACAGATCGGTTTTGGGTTACAAACTTACTAGCTGAATGGCATTTCCTTGTCTCTGCTTGCCCCACTCCTCAGCTCCATTTCCCCAAGTCTGTTGGGGCCACCTGCTGTTGACTAAACTTCACCAACTTCGAGAAGTTCAGTGTAAGAATCCCACTGGCACCTTAGACATGCAGACTTCAGGAGTTCAAGGGGTGATCTGTCTGCAGTGTCTGTCTGCAGGATGTAGCTGCAGAGGCTAAAAGGACAGCCTCTGAGGTTTGACTGAACTCAGTTTTAGATTCATAAAGCCACAGTCAGTCAAAACCGGCCAGAGACCCAAAATTTGGAATCCTCTCAGAACACAGATATATGATTTAGGAATAATTGATTCAGTGGCGGATAGGAGAACAAACTAGAATATTCATTAGAAACCTTTGCTTTAGTTTGCCTGGATGTGCTGGCACCAAAGTTTTAGCTGAAAATTAGCTTTAAAAATCCCACGTTAACAAGAAAACATCCTGACACAGGAATAATTTTCTTCGACTATCTCCACAAGGGTCTTGGAGCCAGGGAGGCCATCTGATGCATGGAGGGTTGTCACACAGACCTGGCCATGGGCCAGGGTACTGCTGCTCACTGTCCCCTGGACAGGCTCTGTGTGGTCCGGAGCCCAGGGCATGCATTCTCTGGGATGCAGCTTTGCTCCTAAATCCCCACATCACAGCAGGACCCTGGCTCCATCTGGACCAAGAATGCATGCCCAAGCTACGCTCCTTTGTGCAGTAGAAAGGATAATGTTGCCACAGAGGCAGTGGTTTAAGCCGGGGAAAGAGAAACGCTGGCTGTCGAGGGAACAGGCCTCCACTTTCTGCAGGGTCTGTACCCCGGCAGGGCCTCCTGTACTGAGGCTGAGGCACGCTGGGAGAGCTATTCTCCACACAAGCGCAGGCCATTCAGGGACACGACTTCTTTCCTCACGAATAAAATGCATCTTTAGATCTTTGCAGATATTACTGCTCTGGAGCCTGCACCCCACTGGGGTTTTATTTTGGAGAAATAGTCTCAGGGCTGTTCACGGGCAGCTTCTTTCACTCTGTGAACTGAATGCAATGTTGTGTGGGTTTTAAAATTAGATTGTCCAGTGCTCAGGTACACCTAAATGGTGAAAGTTCGGGATCATTAAGGGTGAGGTTGCAGGGGAGGGTTTTTCCAACTGGCAGGCCTACATCTAGGGATGGGCAGGGTAGTGCATGGCTGGCTGTACTTATGAGAGACATCTTCACTGCCAACAGTAGCAGCTTATCAATGCTGACAGTAGCCAGAGAAGCATTAGAAGTGAACTGAATTCTTCTTCTGGCTTCTGATGTAAACATCAGGCCTGCTTCAAAGGCATTTCCATCTAGGCTGAGGTATCTGAAGGGTTCAGTGAACATCATATGGCCAAACAGCCCAAAACAGGCTCTTGCACCCTCACTGTGTGGTTTTGGGTTCTAAGACTTTACCTGTCTTTACGCTCTCAGGGACATTTAAATTGTTCCTGCATCCAGGGCTGATGTGAAAATAAAATAAGGACACAGAAGCCGCCTGACACAGTGTACATGCTCGAGAAACATGGCTGTCAGCTGGCTTCAGAACCGGCCATTTGCTGGATCAGTGCACAATCTCCCCCTGGTGCGGCAGCTGCTAGCGTGCCCACAAGTGCTGCCGGGTACCTAGGCTTCCATGTGATCTCTGATGGCCAGCCGGTGACTAGAAACCAGCATTGGTGGGACTTTCCTGAGTGAGCAGGAGGCTAATGCCTTCCTGTCTCTAATGCAGGAGCTACCAGCACACAGTGTTTGCTAATTTCACACTTGAAAGTCTGGCGGGGAGGGGGGGGGCGCAGAGGGAGAGCTGAAAAACCAACAGCGTGGGTGGAGGGGCAAGAAGGAGTTGCCTCATGACGGCACACAAGGGCCTTTTCCACCATACTGCAGGGATTCCTTCCAGGTAAGAACCTGCTGGACAGGAAACAGCAGAAACTAAGTCCAATCTCACTTTTTTTTTTTTTTTTTTTAAAGTACAAATCTGAGTGGCCCAGCCCAGACAGAAGAGGCGGTGCAAGCCAGCCATTGGGCCTGAAGGTGGCAGCACTGGGGCTGTGAAATAGCAGAATGGGTTCATGTGGGTGTTTACTCTGATTAGGGCTGGATGGAGTATTTTTAAATCCTTGTATTAGAAACAAAGGTATGTGGCTCAGGATTCGAAGGTGGACTCTGGCGAAGAGGAGCGACAGGGAGTGTGGCCTTCTGCGTCAGATGTGAAGGGCAGCAAAGGGCAGCCCTGCATCTCACTCGGAGGTCGGAGGTCGGCTCCTCTTCCAGGCCTGGGGTCTGGCTCAGCCAGCTGTCACTTACCAGGAGATGGCGGCTGCAGCTTGGGCTGTTTCTTGGCATCCCCTGTGCTGAAGACTTCAGGCGGGGGCTCCTCCCCACGCTCAATTTTGCACTCAAAGGCGAACAGGTACTGAATATACTGCTTTTTCAGGGAACTAGCCGCGCTGCTTGAAGTGCCAACATTTAGGTTGGTTGCCAGCTCACGCCACTTCTTGTTTTTATTAACCTAGCAAAAAAATGGGCAGGATCGTTGGTTTGCAGCAAAGTGGCTTGTTTAAAGCCAGGAGACAAACAAGCACTTAATGTCTTGGCTTACTTTTGTCAATTTGCCTCTTTTAACCAGTGCTCATCGCTCCCACTCAGCAGCACACAGACAGCATTGCAGTTATAAAGCCATTAAGGAACCTGCCGATGGCTACATAAAAGCCCACTTGCTGGGGTCTTCTGCCTGCTCCATCTCCTAGAGATTTGTATAAGAGCTTCCGGATTCCTGAGTCCCAGGAATGAATGGAGCCCCCCCCCCCACCTATTCCCACCCAATCTCTAAAAGGATGCCTAATACTAACAATAACAGCACTATACGTACATGAAAAAATAATGTTCCCTTCCAGTAGCCACCAGAGTGTACCCCTGTGACCCCGGCTACATTCTTCCATTGAGCTCTCACCGAGGCTCCCTGAGGGATGGACACAGGAAGTATCTAGAGCAGGGCTACTGCTCCCTGGCTGGAGTGTTGGCCGGAAGCTTAGTGTCTGGGGCACAGGCTTGTGTGCATCCTCCGGGGCTTACTACATGAGGCTGAAGACAGCAGCACTCCAAGAGAGGATGGGGGGGGGCAATCACTTCAACTTTTTTGTTCTTATCCAGGAATGGGTTGTGAAATGATAAAGGCATGAATGAAACATGAAGACACAGAAATAGCTCAGGGAAGATGGAGGCTCGTGCCTTTTGATGTGTGCTATGCTGGGTGGTTTGCAATGGTCATAAAATAATGGCTATCTGGATCCAAACATTAGCACAAGGTTCCTTACGTCCATTCATTTAGTGCTCAACAGTCACAATAAACACATTTGACAGCATCAACAGGCCACGGCTGCTTCGGATTGCAGCTCTACTGCTCTGTCAACCAGAGCGTTGGGCTTTGGGCGGCCATGGCACAGCGCCTGCTTGCAGGCCTGCTGGAAACAGCACGGAGCCAGCAACAATGAGTGTCCCCAGTCCTGCGTGAGCTACAGACCACCGCATGAGTGGATTCCAGTTGCTCTTTATCTTGGTGATTTGCATTTAGGGGAGACAGAGCAGGGCTCACAGGGAGAGGGAGGAGAGGTGGTTCATGCAGCACGTGACGTGGACTGTGACATATAACTTAGCATCGTTATGATAAGTTCTAATGGGTCTAGTCCTAGGCCTCAGTCCGGTAGAGGGCAGGGAACTGAAGGGAAGGCCAAGAACAAAGGTTTATCCTGTAACTCCCAGAACCACAGAGCTGAGACATAGAAAACTCAGTGACCCTGTGGCTGGGCTTGGACTCCTGGTCCTCCTGTCTCCAAGCATGGAATTACAGGTGTGTCCCATTATACTTAGTTTGAATTAAAATAGTGAATTTGATTTTTTTATCTGAACTAAATTTATGATGAATTTAGTCATTTCTAAAACACTTCTGGAGTGTTTACTATGAATCTGTAGCAGATTCCAGAGAATTCTAGAGCTGCTGGGGAAAAATGCTAACGATCTGGTATAGATGAGGAAACCGAGGCCACACAAGTAGGTAGGAGAGTCAGGGATCCTAACCTCTCCAGCCACCACAGGGTCGTAGGAAGGTGACCTTCCTACAGGCTTAGCTTCTCCTCTGTGAAAAAACCTAATAAAAATGCAGCTTCCCAAAGGAGCCATGCAAAGGCCATCAGCACACTTGCTCGGCACTGAGCGTTCTCACCTGCGCCAGACCGCCAATCTCTTTGACGCAGACGTAGAGTCGAAACAGGTCCAGGGGCTTCTTGCCCACGGCGGGAAGACTGGACACTGGGGAACCCCTCTCTTCCATGAAGGTCAGGTAGCGGTCGACCCACAGCTTCCTCTCTGGCTCGTTCCCCAGCTCATACACTTTTGTGATCTTCTCCCCAGTGGTGGAAGATGAGCTGGACTTCTAGTGGCGAGTGTGTGGCAGCGGGCACGGGGAAGCCGAGTCGGGCGAGGGGAGAAGGTGAGGAGAGAGCGCAGAACGGATAAGCACAGGAAACACATTTAAAAACTATGACTATCCTGCAACAGCTAGGGACAAAGGCTACTAGTTCAGGCACAAACTATACATTTTCTTAAATAACACACTTTGATTTCAAATAAAAATGCCCAAACTCTTCATTTTAACACTTCAAACAACTGAAGTAAAAATAAACACTCTGCTATAAGCACAGAGTCTCAGAAGGCAAGAGTCCAATGAGGTTTCATGTGTTTCTGAGAACCAAAACACTGGCAGTCCAAAGAAGGAAGGTCTGTGGTCAAATTTCTCATGTCTGATGCCATAAAGTGCCCTCACCTCCAATAACACATTTCCACATTTTTTCTCAAAATAAGAATGACTAATATGTGTCCTTATGAAAACTAGGTCACATGATAGAACCGACACCTGGTGCTTGCTGCAGTGTGCAAGAGGACAGAAACCACAGGCAACACAGGTGTGCCTCCAAGTTGCTGGCATTTGTAAGCTATTGGGCAGCTAAAACTGGCACCTTCGTAAGGGTTCTGAGCCTCTCAGTGAGGTCAAGGGGTTATCAGATAAGCACCCCAGTGTGGTTAGCGCCCTAGAAACCACACACCAGGCTCAGTAAGTGGCAGCTTCCCTCTATAGGCCATTCTGCCTGTAGTGTTAAGCCTCTGGTTTTAGTATTACCGAGGCATAAAATCTATAAATAAAATACATAAACACGGACAATCTGGGCCCACTTGTGCAAACCTGTACTCCCAAGTACTGGGAAGGCTGAGGCAGAAATATCACAAAGTTTGAGGCTAGACTGACAGTTTATTAAGCCCCTGTGTCAAATTAAAAAAAAATAAAGTAGGGAAATGATGGGGCTAGACCTCGATGGTATTTAGGGAGGTCTAAATTCAGTCCCCAGTACTGAAGGGTTGAATAGGGTAGCTGACATGGTCAGAATGGGAAGCAAGTGTTGATGTGGGATTCCCCTCTGTATGCTGTGAATACCATTGGTTAATAAAGAAACTGTCTTGAAAATGCATAGGGAATAGAGGTAAACAGGGAAAACTAAGCTGAATGCTGGGAGAAAGGAGGTGGAGTCAGGAAGAAGCCATGTAACCCTGCCAGAACTGGACAGAACTTTAACCAGTAAGCCACAGCCACGTGACCATACACAGATTAATAGAAATGGATTAAATTAATGTAAGAGTTAGCCAAAAAGAAGCTAGAGCTAAGGTGCCAAGCAGTGATTTAATTAATACAATTTCTGTGTGATTATTTTGGGGCTGAGCAGCCGGGAGCTAACACGTGGCCTCCTCACAACAGTGTGATCTTTTAGGGTGTGTGTCCAATACATATGCATATATAATATCCAAATGAAAAGCTCTTGAATTGTATTTTTCATAAACTTTATTTTCATTTTACTAAGAGAAGAAATTACAGAGCTGACAGCGGGAGGCCATACCAGCAACCCTGCAGGAAAGCCTGGCTAGGGCCAGCGGGAGGCCATTAGCAGGGGCTGCTAAACGGTGGCAGAGAGCTGTACTTCTTTTAGGAAGGGTCACTCAAACATAAGCCCAGTGCTTTTAAAAAATGAAATCATGAAATAAGAACATGAGGGAAAAGCATTTTTCCCTGTAGTCAGATACACTCCCTCATGAGCAGCTGGGAGGCCAGGTTCGCCAGTGCGCTGGTGAGAACAGTGAGGCCATCGATGGTTTAAAGGGGACCTGAAAGATCTGAGCAGCTCTGCCGGGATCCGGGAGGTACGACCCAGCCTCCACCCAGCCTCCATTTCCGGTCAGTGCGCTCCTCCCTGAGGACCGAAACTGAGCATGAACAGAGGACCAGTGTACAGCAGCGTTTGTCCCTGCTTTTGAGAGGATTCTTAGAGCTGGAAGCAGACCTAAAATACTGCATATGTAGATTTTAACTTGGTCACCTTTCTTTGTCAACCTGTGTGTTATTCTAATCTGTTCCCTTATAATCAGGAAAGGGCAATGAGTAGCTCATCAACGGTGTTTTTTTTTTTTATTGTGCGTGTGTATGTTTGTGTTCGAATGTGTCTGTCTTCACCTGTGTGTGTGTGCGGACATGTGTGTACGCATGCAGATGTCCAGAGTCCATAAAGGGAACAGGAATCACCTGGAATTGTAGTTACAGGCAGTTGTGAGCCACACAACGTGGGTGTGGGTGCTGGGCCCTGAAACTGGGTCCCTGAGAGTGCAGCAAGCACTCCCAGCACTGAACCATCTCTCCAGCATAAAAGATAATAGTTATTGATAATTTTGCATCTTCCCCAAGGCATTGTTATGGGTTTTTTTTTTTTTTTTTTGACAGGTTTTTCCTGTAGCTTTGGAGCCTGTCCTGGAACTAGCTCTTGTAGACCAGGCTGGCCTTGAACTCACAGAGATTCACCTGCCTCTACCTCCAGAGTGCTGGGATTAAAGGCGTGCGCCACCACTGCCCGGCTTCATTTTTATGGTTTTATCATGCAGACAAAAGTATTTCACATAGCTCAAGAAATGTAGGTGCCTGCGTAGCAATCTCCCAGGAGGCCTGCCGGCTAACCCACACCGAGGCTTGGTTCTCCGGTCACATGCTGGCTGGCTCCTGCAGTACTCTGTCTTAGAGCGTAGTGTGCCGCTCTGCAGTGCACTGACAACGGATCTCTCACCGACATAAGCTTGGCAACTGTGAATGCACTCACTCGGCACAGCGTCCTTCACACTAATGGTATGCAAGCTGCTCTATGAAAGAAAGTGGTGTAAAGTCTGACTGTGCGCAGGTCAGATGAATAACTAGCTCAAACAGCTGTCATTGAACACAGCTCTTCCTCTCTGCTAGGCACTGGCTGGATGGACTCTCTGAGGAAATTTCTAGTTTTTAGATCTATTTTTAATTTTATGTGTCTATTGCCTACATATATGTGTATCGTGTGTACAGTCCATGGAGGCCAGAAGAGGGCGCTAGATCCTCTGGAACTGGAGTTGCAGTCAGTTGTGAGGCATCTTTGAGTACTGGGGACTAAACCCAGGTCCTCTGCAAGAGCAGCCACTGCTCTGGCCCCCAGTTGAGGACTGTCTTGAGGAGACACGGCCTACAACAGTGGGAAGGGCCTTCAGGAAGACCCTGTATCTTTCGCAGGAGTACAGGTCCACTTGGAACTGTTCTGGGCTGTGAACACTGTATCCCAGGTTCTGATCCCTTGGGGAGCAGGAAAAAAGAATGGACGTTGCTGAAAAATCACAGCAAGATATTCTTATGGCGCCACACATGCTTTCCTTGCATATAGTTTAATTCAGCTCAGACGCATTTGAGCCTCTGAGGCAGATTTACATTTCAGCAGTCTTTGCCATATGCTTGGTTCTCTGTATATGTGTACGCGTATGGACAAATGTTTATTTATATTTTAGAATGTTTTCTAACAAAGCACTGTTGGTCCAAAGCACACTGTCAAAGCAACCATGGCAGCTCTGTTATTTTGCCCAGCTCATGCTTGCTATTAGCACAGTCTTCCTGGGGACACTACTCAAGACCGGTTTCAAGCACCAACTAAAGTGGCCTCTCTGCAGGAGCAGTTCACTTCTGAAACAGAACCCCAGGGGCACGCGGTCCTGCACTGCACTCCCCTTCCGGAACACCCATCTCATGCAGCAGAGTACACAGCAAGGGCCTAGCATTCTCCACTCAGCAAACACGGCCTCTCTTGTCCTTGGTTAGCACTGGAGCCACAGGTGTGCTAACTGATTCTTAAACACAAAGCAATTTACAGCATAAAATGAGATGTGTGGTAATATTTTTTTTAAAAAAAACATGCTAAATTTCAAGTATAATCATCAGAATATGCGGTCAGCACTTTAGTTTACTTTTCTATTACATTTAAATAAAATTTATTTTTTTGAGGTAGGGCTTGCTATTTAGCTCAGGCTAGATTCAAACACGATTCTCCTGCCTTAGCCTCCCAGTCTGAGATTATAGACCTGGGTCACTATGTCCAGCTAGAAGACAGAATCCGGGGTAGTTCTGCACAGGCCTCGCTGGGTGAGGACAGCTTGAGCAGGAAGCTGGAACACAGCATCCTCTCTGTCAGCTGCGACTCCAGGACCAACAGTAAGTGTTTTATCATGGTTCCCAGCCTATTAAGGTCTTCATTTTCACTAATTATTCTCAATTATTATCTTAAGTTTTAAGCATTACCATTTTCTAAAACTGAGCCAATATGCAAACGTTTATGTAAATGTATTTGGACTCTGCCCATTCATTTAGCATTATTAATTCATAAGCTTTTTCCTGTTACAAAGAGAGAGAACGGAAGGAAAAGGAAGAAGAAAAAATTTCCAAGGTGGTTTACTGAAAAACAAAACAACCCCCAAACACACAGTATTGGCTGCCTTCTGAGGCTCAAAGCCAACAGCACAACAGCACCTAAAAACAAGGGGTCCAGCTCCCCCTTCCTCTGATCTGGCTGGAAGTGCGGGTTACAGCAGAGTTCCACAGACGTTTGCTACAGCCACCAGCTCTCCATCATGCCGGGCTCTCCATGTCTACCCCAGCGGACGAGGAACTGATGGCTGCCTCCTTCCTGCACAGCCAGGGTCTTCTTCCCTCCAACTTGCTCTCCTGAGCTGGGCACTTTAATACACTACCTTACAGATATCAGCGTGTTAATTACATTTCTTGAGAACTTATTTCATGTTTTATAAAAAAAATCTTTTAATTCCCTATATATGAATGTAAAGTAAAAGGTTATAATAACATATTATTTTTTTATTGGTACAGGATAATATTTTTAGAAGGAATAAAGGCCCAACTTGGGAGGTCAGAAGAGCATTTCCTGGTATGTAGATGGCACTTGCTGTCACTTATCTGAAGACTGTTGGCGCCTGTCCTTGTCAGTGACTCTGACGCAGGGGCATATTCTTAGCCTAAAAATTCAGATGCACTAACATTTCTATAGCTTTGGCCGTGTCAGACACACAATTTATAACTGAAACAGGTCATTGTTATAACGCACTGTACCTGGTTGCAATATTTATTCATTTATTTCAGGTAAACAGCTTTGAAGTCATTTTTTAGATACAATAACCATGACAAAGTTAAACCAGGAGTCAAATGTGTCATTTATCTCCTGGCTGCTTTAGAGAAGCCCTCGGTGGCACACACAGCCGGCACCCCCAGGGTGGTGCCTGATCCCCTAAAGCACAAGTGCTCTCCACGAGGAGGAAGGGCTTCACCCCAGAACATGCAGAACATGCTAAGAACGCCGGAAAGAGCTATGACACACACGAATGTGCTGTCAGTAATGAAATGATTTATAAACTCTGCTTTCTCACGGATCAACAGTGGAGTCTTATAAAGCAAACTGGCAAGCATTAAAGTGTAAATATTTAACTACCCCCCAAACCCTTCCATACAAAACCCACGACAAACAACCAGGGCCACTTACAGGGCTTGACGGAGTCTTGGGCCACCCTGGGCTGCTAATGCTGTCACTCTCGTCTCCGTGAAAGGAGGAGATGCTGGCAGAGCTGGGGGACATTGGGGAAGGGACTGGCAGGTTGCCTGGGGTCGGAGGCTGAGAAATACCTTGAGAGCTGTAGCTATCCTGCAGTAGGGAAATAAGAAAAAAACGACAAAGGTACAACAAACTTTATTTAAAACAATTAAGTACATTCAGTGTAACAGATGAATTGTGTATATACACATACACGTACATACGCACACATACATATCACAAATGTATATATGAAGACATACACAAACACACATGGAAACATACATAACAGAGTACTAAAACAGTCTTAGTATGCCTGGTCAGTTTGCTGGACACTGAAAAGGCCACAAAGCTACCAAGCTTACTTTAAGCTTGGATGGAATGCTAAGCATGGGATAGATCTTATGCAAGAAAGTAAGAAAGCAAGAAAAGAAAAAGAAAAAGCCATTTGCCTTATTTAGGAAATAAACAAACAGTAAGAATGCTGTTGTGGAGGTAGCCAAAATAGGAAGCTCTGAACTATATGCAGAAAAAATGGGTTCAAGTACCCACACCAAGCAATATAAATAAATCCTTTGCTTCCCCAACAGCATCTCTTAGCGAGGTCGCCACCCTTCCCGCACTGTAACTTTCAGATCCACACCATGGGGCTGGGCTGGGGTGGGGAAGACAGCAGACAGTGGCACGGGAAGGCAAGAGAGGTGAGACAGTGTCAGCACCAGGCAGAGCACAGCAAGGTCGCCCTGCAGGCAGTAACCAAGGGTGCAGGGAGGAGGAAGTACCTTTGACTTGCTCTCAGGCTGGGACACGCCTTCTTCTTTACCGTCTGCTTTAAGAGGTGTGGACAGCTTTGATTCGCCCGGAGACATCATATCTGCAAGACCCAGAGAAGCTGATGGGAAACAGCAGAGAGCGAAGGTTACACTTGGGATGCACCAGGGCACTTCTGCTCACCTGGCACCCACGCTTCCCTTGAAGGAAGGAAAGGGGGGAAAAAAGAGTCATGGGATGCTGGAACACGCTGAAGTCTGAAATTCCTTTACATGGTGGAGGAAACAGACCCTGTATAGCCAAGACCCCCAAACACAGGCCAGTTTATAGTTCTTTCTCTTTATCACAGCTTTAAAGAGTAGACGACAAGTAGAGACGGGCAGGCGTATGAACTGCTCACGCTGGAAGAAACTGCAGCGTGTATCTGTATCAACCTCTACAGTTAAGGAGACATCACAGGAGCTCCTGACACAAGCCACACTTTCCATCTGTGGCCTGAGATGTCGATGCAGCAAGCTCCACCCAGGCCCTATGTTCAGAGAACAACTGACTCACACATCCTCATGGTAGACACCAACAGACACACTCAGGAGAGCGGTTTCTTTCTGAGGAAGGACTCAAGACTATTGAGGACAATCAGCGTGGCTATCCAGGGAATCGAGCTGAATTTCCATAGAAGCTACTGTCAAGCCTTCCACACAACTGAGCTAGACAGAGGAGCTGCAAGTAAGGTATAATAGACGTGTGAGGAACAAGGGGCACTGAGGCAGCGATCTGAAGTTGCTCCCTGCCAGGATGGCAGAACCACAAGGCTTCATACACGGAACCCGCTCCAGATGCTGCAACGGCAAGTGTGGGCTCAGCCAGGCAGGACGCAGGGAGCACAATGTACTAGGAAAAAAGGGAAAGCAAACCAGCTGAAGGCCCTGCAGAATGATCACTGCACATATCCGTGCATTACTGTGTTTTAGAAAATAATTAGTTTTAATTACAGCAGAGAGAGAAGGAGCAGGCTCTGGTGAGTCAGCTGGCAAGCTCCATGGTGCTAATTTGTTAATATCGTTAGCATCACTGCAGGTTGAGACCATAGGTCCTGCCAAAACAGCCTACCCCTCCACGTGCCCTGGAGTTTACGTCGGCACACTCAACACTGTGCTCTGAAATCCCGGGCTTCCACAGGCACACTGGCTGGCTTTGCAAAGCCCATTTGCAGCCCAGTCAGCCCTTAAAGTCATCACAACACACACAAATCATAATTGAGATGTTTTTCTTTTTTTCAAATTACTTTCAATACTTAGACTTTAAGAACTGGAACAAAAAGCTTTTTCAAGTGATGCAGCTGCAGAGGAAAATCTATTGGGATCAGCTAAAAATGTGTTATTTCTGTGAATGTGTGAAACCTCAAAAAAAGCAGCTGAGTGATATTACAGCCGAAGACCGCCTCGCTCAGTGGCTTCCGCGTGGCTTCTCTGCAGGGCCCAACGAGACAGGAATTAGTGAGCCTGGACGCTCAGAAGAAGAGGAATTAACGTGGAGCAGGGAGGAAGGGCCTGTGCACGAGTATCGGCATGTCCTTGCCCTTCTGCACGCTGCTCAGGGCAATGGCAGCCAGTGCAATTCAGAGAAGGAAGGTCACAGCACGTGGCTTCTGCCAAATCCCGCTACTCCAGAGGTGACAGCTGTTTGGCCAGTTTTATAAGTTATATCTGGATATTATTTTGGCAGTAGGAATGGCGATATGTTTTATGCATTTCACACATTAACGTACACAAAAGTAACTTTAAGCAGGAAGAACTAAGCCAACTGTACTACCGTCATCAGTAGCAGCTCACACTGATTTCATTATCAGACTCTGATGAATAAAGCCTATGTGGAATCTGAAATTCCCCAATTTCTTCATTCTCTTTTTATAGTCTGAAGTGGGCACCCTGGGTATGCGAATACACCTGCAGCGCCCTCCTGCTCTGAGGGACGGGACTGGAGCGGCACTTTCTACACAGTGCACAGGTTCTTCTTCTAACTACATGACTGCACTGTCTGTCTGACTGTGGATTTTATTTTTCCTTCTACTGAAATGCTTAGTTTTGAATTAACCAAACTTTCAAAGAATTGCTGCACAGAGCCATATATCTGCAGCCTCCAGGGCTGTGGTCTCTCAGGGGCACTGTTTTCCTCTTTCCTCAGGAAAGAGGTCACATCACTGTCAGATACGCCCTCCCTCAACTGCTGATTCTCCAATTCCCCAGGAGTCCAGAGTGTGAAGTTCGGATGGGATGGCCAGGGACAGCAAGTGATCTGCTACGACACCATGGAGACTACAGCAGGGGCTGCCTGAGCCATGTAAATGCAGACATATCCCAAGTGCAGGCGCTGGTCCTGCTATGGGGATGTAGGAGCTAAAATGACTTCTTAAGGCCACCAGGGGTCATGGTTCCCAAGAACTCAGGGAACACAGGACTTGAGGGAAGCTAACCTGCTTCCTCCCAGCTTCTCTCTCTGTTCTTTACACAGTTGCATCCACTCCCAGAAGGCAGTGACACACACAAGGCTCTTTCCCTTTCTTAGTAAAATCCCACATTCTAGAGATATTCTGTCATTCTACCTTGTTCACGAATTTGTTGCTGCTATTTTTGGAAACAAATTCCCTCTCTGTAG